CACAAACACATTTCATTACACCAAATACACAAAATAATGTTCTTTTTAGCAACATCATATGACCCCTTTAATACATATTTATAGCTTGGTATAATAATTTTGATATTTCTACAGTATATGCATTTTTGGCTTCATGTTTAGTTAGAATCACAGTTAAAAAGTTACGAACATTTCGAAGAGAGTGAGAGAGCAGTCTGCCTAAAGCCTCTTTAATCCGATTAACTCTCCCTCTTTCCCTTTTAAAGGTTGCCATGTCTGGGTTTTAAGTCATTCAAGAACACTTCATGCTATTCTAGAATTGCAACCAAGGAAACCATTGTTCTGGATAGGTTTTGCTGGCAGAGGAGAAGCCACTGTCTAGACAAGATAAAGATTTTGCCAATTTTGTGATATCTGCTTGGTTTTACAGTCAGTAAATATTAGAGCAATAGTTTTAAAGTAGGACATCTCTAAACTACACATTTAGTAAAATAAAAATACACATATGGCAATGTTTCAAAAAAAAGTTTCAATATAAATTAGCTAGATGCTATTTAGTAAACAGTAAGCCTTATGAGTTCACTTAACAGGTACATATATAGAGTATTAGTTTCCAGTCTCTGTAAGAAAGATGTGTGAGTTATGTATTCTGATATGTATTCACAACCTTGATCCAGCCACGCTTCAAATCCCATGTCCTCAATTGCCGACCGCAGTTCTTCTGGACAGGTCACACTGGAGTCAAATGTTACAATTCCCTTCTTTTCCTGTAAGCAAACTTTTATGGCATATACTCCGGCTCTTTGGGACACCATTCCCTCTATGGCTTGAACATAAGAGCTGCATGTCATTCCTTCTATTCTGATGGTCACAGTCTGAGGTGGAATACTGGCAGAATTCAATCTAGAATTCCAACCAGGAATGGAAACCCTAAAATTCCCTGGTGGAATCTCCTCTAAGAGCCCTTTAACTGTCTCCAGGGTTAGCAGCGATGGGTCGAATCTAAGGTCCACAGTTCCTTTTTCCAATGAAACGAATACAGAGTTGACACCTACCACTCCCGACAAGGTCTCTGTAATGTTCTTCACACATGACCCGCAATGCATCCCTTCTACACCTAACGTTACATCAGACCAATCAGTCACCGAAGGCTGCAGTTGACTCGGCAAGGCCATAAGTGAAGCATCAAACCCCATATCCTCAATATGTTTTCTCAAAACTTCTGGTGTTACTGTTCCAGGGTTAAACCTCAAAGAGGCTTCTTTATCGCTCAAAGACACCTGGACACCAACAACACCTTCAAGACTTCCAATCCGCTCTTCAATAGATCGGACACATGATTGACAGGTCATTCCCTGCACCCGGATCTTCACCTCGCTCTCCTTGACCACCAATTTGTGGTCCAAACTGTGCTTCAGTCCATTGTGGCCCTCTGGTTCATAGGCAAGATTATCAAAAGCATGTTTTTCAGGGGTCCAGCTTTCCTGTGGACTTCCATTTTCCTAATCAAACAGGAAAAATTGAGCATAAACTTATCAGCATAAACATATTGCTTACATGTTTTGAAACATAATGTAGTTTAACTTTGTATTATTGACGTAATCCTGCAAGGCATTGTAAACATGTGGGTTGTGGAAACAAATATGCACTCAACTGAACCCAATAAATTTGCTTTCAATCTGAGGCACTACAAAGCACTCGCTAATCACACACAGAAGTATTAGCACAAATTTTTCCCATTATACAGCATCAAAGAGCAGATTAGTAAAGGTTGTCCGACTGAACAATCACAAGACTTGGAATTTACTCCTGCTATTTTATTACTAATGGTGACTTTTGCACTATTGAGTGTTGATCACATTGGATCCAAAGTGGCATTTTTATTTGCACTTAACTTTACATTAGTGTTTAGACCACTTATTTACTCATATGCATTTGGCTTTGATCAAAAGAGTTAAAGTTTCTCTGTGGCCAGAATATCAAAGACAGAACAATGTTTTATAGTGACAACGATTGTTGTCATTCATTTTTACTTGCCAACTGAAATTATATTAATGCCATTGAATTTGACATTTAACCTCCTCCTAACTGATATATAAAAGTCAAGAAGTTAATGCTCATTCATAGAATATGTATATATATATATATATATATATATATACACCAACTGGTAATTTAACGCGTTAATTAGATTGATTTATTAATTACGGTGAAAAATAACGCGTTAAAATTATTAACGCATTTAATGCACTTGCCCCGCCCCAGACCTATGTGGGTGATCTGACATTTAATACAGTTTATTAATGACAAATATGAGGCAGGGCAACAACTCACTGCGTGATGGAGCCTATAGAATGTAGTTAGAATGTCCCTAAAATTCAAGATATGGGGCAAAAATGCCCTTTTTAGTTTTTGTCTCATATTTACATCATATAGTTAAGCAATATCACACAAGCAATAGGCTAAGTGCAATATCACACGAGTGCAAATGTGATACTGATCTTAAACAACAGTTCAGTAAGTAAGAAGTTAATAGGCCTATTGTGTTATTTTAGACACAATGTTGTCTGTTTTGCTCAATTTTGCCAACGAAAATATAAAGACAAAGCAGAACCGTTCGTCTCCGAGCAACACACAGCGGCATTTAATTTCTTATTGCACGTTTTGAACGAATTGGGTGAACCATTTGGCGCGTTGAACCATTGGCTATAGGCACGTTGGATTTGAAGCGGCGCTGCATGTATGACATCAAAGTTTCAGGAATTAAAACAAAAGTTTGATTGACCTAAAACACATTTTTAAAATATCTTCAAATTAGGAATTTTATTAATAAGGCACAGCATCATCCTCCTCTCTTGCCGGATCTGTTCCCTTTAGAAAAAAATACTTTTAATGGGAGTAGGCAACTTTCTTTATTTTATAAACTAATCTCCACCAACTGCAGGGAAAATACGAAAAATAAACGTTTGGCATGGTGTCAAGATATAAATGAGAATATAACAGAAGATGAATGGCAGAGGATCAAACACAGACAATAATATAAAAATTAATACAAGGTTCAAACTTCTGCAATATAAGTGGATTATGAGAGTATACATAACTCTGGAATCCCAACATTCCCGATCAATGTATAAAATGTAATCTAGAGATAGGAACTTTATATCATTGTTTATGGAAGTGGCCCCAAGTTCAACTTTTTTGGGAAAAAGTTTTAGACTTTTGATCTCTGGTGTTGAGACAAAATGTTCCCAAAAGTCCTAAACTCTACTAAATAATTTCCCTGTAAATTGCACTTTAACTAGCTCTAATAAGAAAATCTTGATATTCTGTTTATTACAAGCAAAACTTATAGTAGCTCGTCATTGGGAAAACATAGAAAGAACTCATTTTGGTTACAAGAATTGTCTCATTGCTTGGCTTTGGAAAAAATCGCATATTTTCTGTGTTACTTTGCTTAACATGCATCACCTCGTGATTTTAATGTACCATTGTTTTGACATGTATGTGTATTGTATGTATATGTACATATATATGTCATTTTATATTATTTTATTATTATTATTATTTTATGTTAAATGTTCTAAAATCAATAAAGGCAGTGTTGAAAAAAAATGAATCTGCATTGTGGTTGTGTTGTGATCTTATTCAAAACAATTTAAAACAAAAAGAATTGACACTTTGAGCACAAGTCCATAATGCATCTGCATCTGTTAGAATACCTGAACTTCAGGACAACTGACTTCATACAACCACAAAAACCACTGTAAGAGCAACTAGTAATGGCCAAAAAGAACAAGTTACTTCTGAGAAAAGGCCTAGCACTTTATATTTTTATCTAATGGAAGTAAATTCACACACTTTTGTGTTGCTTAAGTGTCCTAATTTTCTAATTTTAAAGTGTATAATATAATACATATAGGCTATGTAGACAATAGGCCTATGTATTATATGCAGAAAAGCAACACAAACACAAGAATTTTAAAATGTTTTTTAAACTTCTGAAATATCTTATTGTTATTAATGAAACTTTACGTCCTGTTCAAATTGTTATGAATGAAACAAACCTTATATTCCTGGGGTCCATCTTTTCTATTTTGTGAGAAAGGACAAACGCACGGGTCCGGCCCGCAGCGGCACAGAGATTTGCAGTCTTCCATGCAGAGCTGCTCCCCACTGACTGGCCCATTATCAGACGATTTTTTGATAAACTTGGCAAGATTACTGAGAGGACTGAGTTTACTCATTATACCGGTATCCCGTAGACACAAGTCTGGAGTTTAGCTTACCCTTTCTTAACCAACAGTCGAAAACCAAAAATCGCTAGTTTGTGTCATACCGCTGCTGTTGAGTGAAAGGATTGTCCCGTGGCGTGACGGTCCGCGCGCATTTAAATCTCCGCAGGTTTTGCGCTCATCTGCCGCTGTGGATTTTGCACTCGTCACCGCCGGGCAAACTTTTCGCGTCACATTTTCTGTCAATGATTAAACTAATGATGTTACCGAGCGCAAAACGTAAACAAATAAAGGTTATAAATCAGTTCCGAGCAAAGCACACGGCTATATGACTCTTCCCTGTGTTTCCAGTGTTAATTCATCTCTGTCAGGCTTCTACAACGAACACTGAAAAAAAAAAAAAGCTGACAGCGACATACACTGCAGCGACAAAGCGACATACACTGCAGGGACCTCCCAATGGGCCAAACGAGGACAACCACTTGAAACTAAATAGACTGACTGAAATCTAAAAATTCAGATTTGCCTTATTATAAAAATAACATGAAAAGTCAACTTCTTTCTTTCTCATTTCCCAACAAATCCCACAACCCAGATAGCATATGTAGTTAACGGGGTAATAGTGATAATATTTATCAATATGAGAATACTTTTGAAATATATACAAGTAACATTTAAGTGCATACTAAATTTAAGTATACAATTCATTTATAAGTCATTTTGGAGCTGCAAAAAGTACAGACATATTTCACTAACGCGTTGTGATTCGATTAGTTAGTGTGTTATGTTATAACAAATCTATTCCCTACAAATAAATTAGATGAACATGTATTTTGGAGCTTTTTCTTTTGTCAACTTAAGAGTGTTCTGGGCCTTAGTCTTGGCTTTTCTAACAACAAAAGGGGCTTTTTGCCCCAAATATTATCCTTTCACTATATATATAGTGAATTAGTGAATTATAATTGTCATTTATACAACAGCCGATGGTACTGCATGTAACAAAACTGAGAATCATAAACAAACTTTTGAGACAAAATAAATAGTAACACTTTACAATAAGGTTCATTAGTTAACATTAGATAACTACTTTAGTTAACATGAACTAGAATGAACAATAGCTTACTTCTACAGCATTTATTAATCTTAATGTTAATTTCAACATTTACTAATGCATTATTAAAATCGAAAGCTGTGCTTGTTAACCATATTTAATGCACTGTGAATTAACATGAGCTAACAGTGACCAGCTGTATTTTAACAAAGATTAATAAATACTGTAATAAATGTATTGTTCATTGTTCGTTCATGTAAGTTAATACAATAACTAATGGAACCTTATTGTAAAATGTTTCCAAATACATGTACTAATATGTGAGGGACTCTCATTTGTTACACAAATCTGCATAGCCTACATCTTAGAACTGTTAAAGGTTAGATAAAAATCACCTCAAAATTATCCTTTAGAAATAGTGCATACTGTATAGACAAACTGGTGTTTGGTAAGTGCTGTGGTGGTTTTTGTTACTATTTAGTGTTTTTAAGGGAAAAAAACAAGATCAAGTTGTATCGCTGTTGGCAAACAGCGAATTAATAGCAATGAGTGCAACAACTTACTGAAATACTGAGTAGAGAATACTAAAGCGCCAACCAGTGGTGAACAAGTCAAAAACAACTGAGACATGATACAGATGTAGTATTTGTGTTTTCCACTAGGGCGCATGCGTGCAAACTTTACCCACTGAATTAAGAATTGCACAGCATTAATAAGGTAATAAGGTCATTAAAGTTCTTTAGCGTACTATGTAAAGTAGACATACCACATGGTAGGCTATATGAATATGGTAATCTACAGTGTTGTAGGTTATTATAGCCTACATCAAACTACCATGATACATCAAATTACCAATACAATAGCCTACATCAAATTACCATGGTATTATAATCTGAATACCATGAATACCATATTAGAATTTGATACCGTGGAGGTAAAAAACGTACCGCCACTGTACTTTTTGTAAATGTTCTCAGAGTCTCTATTTCTGTTATGGTTAAACAAGAGTTTAATAGCAACTGAAACAAAGAAACACATTTGTGAAACCTACAGTATCTTCAGTCTTAAAATGTTGGTCTTTTTAAATCTAAGAGATTCAGTATTTTGACTATTCTGCCAGATCTTACCTTACCCATACTGTACACCAGGAGGATCTTCATACACATTGCCTTCAGAGAAGCACACGTTGATTTGTTTAGATGAACAGCAGATAATCTGACCTCTCACATCAAAGTCACATGACTGTCATGAACTTCCAATTGTCCTTAATTACCAATGACATCAGCAACCACAGAAACCCCCTTACAAAAATGCAAATGCAACCGGTGCACACACATTGGTTTTTACCTAGCTTAATGGAAAGGAATATAATTATGCATTCATTTAAAAAGTCTTGCCAGACTTAATTAAATGATTTGGTGATATACAGCCCTGAATTTAAGCAGCCAAGGTTGGTGACATAAGGCACTCACCCCACAAAACCGCCTTGCTATATACTAGCAAATCTGTTGAGAACAAAACATTTTGCATGTCTGGCAGGACTAAAAGTCAAATAGTGTTTAGACACTTTCATTTAACACTCCTCAGTGTCCCAAGTGGGTCTGTTATTGGCCACCCACTTTACTTTGTCTGCATTTGTTTTTCATTCAGATGGCATGTAATGATTCAGCGTGAATTGTTTGTGAGTTCATTTGCCAAATCCCATCCATCTGAACAGACCATAAATCCTAGGCTGAATCCGAAATCACCCCTTATACCCTCATTCACTATTCCCTACATTAGGCCATTAATACAGTTCATTTGAAGGAGTAAATGAAAATGAGTGAGTCAATTCGGACACTGAGCATGTCCATTGACACTCAGCGGAGACCATGTCAACTAGATGCGCCCCAGAAACAGATCCCCTGCGAAGATCTCGTCACCTTGACGACCATCGGCAGAAGACCACGGGAACCAGACAAGTCCTCTGCACAATCTAACCTGTGTTGCAGCCTGGAATTAAACCATGCCATGCTGGTTTTGTCTGGCCAGAGGAGAGCTGCCCCCCGACTGAGCCTGGTTTCTCCCAAGGTTTTTTCTCCATTTCTGTCACCGATAGAGTTTTGGTTCCTTGCCACTGTCGCCTTTGGCTTACTTAGTTGGGGATGCTTGACTGATTGCACTGGACACTACTAGAAGAGAGCTGAACTGGATGATGACATCACTGAATCATCAATGAAATGACTTTGGCTGGAAAAATGACTCTTTGTTATTGTCCTCTTGTATTATTGACAAACTATTTTCCTGTTTGACACTGTAAAACTGCTTTGACACAATCAGTATTGTATAAAGCAGGGCAAAATAATTTGCTATACCCTATTTTCCGGACAAAGTCACATTTTTTAATCTTCTGGAACGTGCTATGATTTATATTCCAAAGTGACTTATATAATGCATTTAATGTCAAATAGCCTAAGCAAAACAAACACTTAAAAACGGGCATTTAAAGGTTTCTATAAATATGTTTCTCATGTCTGTGTAGTGTCACAGTTATGTTTAGTTTAGTTCAGTTCCTGTCATGTCTGTTATGAGTTCTCATTAGTTTGGTTTCTGATTAGTTAATCCCTGTTCCAGTTTAGTTCCCTCATTTACTATGTGTGTTCTGTTCTATCCTTTGTCAGTTATTGTCTTGTGTTATGTGTTGTTCTATGCCCGTGTTCTCAGGAAAGTCTGTTTGGAAGTATTAATCATTGTTTACATTCCTCATTCCTCTACACTGCAAGTAGACAGTACCGCTGAGTTTTTCTTCATTTCAGGAAGAAGTTCACAGAGACCGAGATGGCAATCAGAAACCAAACTAATGAGAACCCATTACAGACATGACAGGAACTGAATCAAACTAAACATAACTGTGACACTACTTGTCACACAGACATGAGAAACATATTTATAGAAACCTTTAAGTGCCCGCTTTCAAGTGTTTACGTTTAGGCTATTTGACATTAAATGCATTATATAAGTCACTTCGGAATATAAATCATAGCACGTTCCAGAAGATTAAAAAAAGACCCCAGTTTGAAAACCCCTGACATAGAGCAGCAGCAGCAAGCAGGTGAGGTTGTCATGGCAACCAGATTGACAATAAACACGAATAATGAAAATAATGCACGATTAACATGTCTGTCAAAACGATCTCAAAGGAGGCTTTTATTAAGCAGATCAAGGAGTGAATTACTCATCCACTCTTTTTAAAACAGAGAGGCTATTTGTTGGACTTGATTCAAGTTAACGCACAATGGCAGGCACACACGTTTCGTCTTACTGAAAATCTATTTTTAGGTTGTGTTCTAAAACAGTCACCAGTGGGCAGTCGTGGCCTAATGGTTAGAGAGTCGGACTTGTAGCCTGAAGGTTGCGGGTTCGAGTGTCAGGTCCGGCAAGAATTGTCGTGGGGGGAGTGAATGTACAGCACTCTCTTCCACCCTCAATACCGTGACTGAGGTGAGACCCTAGAGCAAGACACCGAACCCCCAACTGCTCCCCGGGCGCCACAGCAAAATGGCTGCCCACTGCTCCGGGTGTGTGTTCACTACTGTGTGTGTGTGTGTGTGTGCACTTGGATGGGTTAAATGCAGAGCACAAATTCTGAGTATGGGTCACCATACTTGGCTACACGTCACTTCACACTTCACTAAAACTGCTGCGTCCTGTGGATCACCTTTATCTGATTGTCCGGGTCCGGAGTCATCAAGCAGAGTTTTCATCTGAGATTTTGCATTATCTCCAGTTCCCCTTCTAGGGAGCTCCACACTGCGCCCCCAGGGGGCACATTGGGGAATGCAGTCTGCATGACCGGTATGTGAAGCATGTGTGAAACCACGGCAATCTATTGGCCCACCTGGCCCATGACGTCATAGACGGGATTCCCGGAAGTATAAAAGGGCACCTGCTGAGTACGTCATCCTCTTTGCTGTCTTCAGGAGCCGTCTGTTTGGATTGCACTGTGTTACCATGTCTGTCAACCTAGGCTATCATTGGTATGGCGGGATGGGCTTACCTGAATACAGCTATCTGAGACTAGCTGTGTCCCACTGCGGTTGCGGTGAGCCCTCCTATGGAGTGGCCCTTTTTCCTAGAGCCTAGC